CAAGAGTCAGTGCATCCGAGGAGTCACAATTCCAGCAGTTTGTGAGGAATCAATTTGAGACAAGCAAAATTCAGAACTATGTCCAAGCACAGAGAACTCTGGTGGCATAGTACATGGTGACTTGTGGTACTAAACCAAAGTCAATGTCTCTCTGGCGGTTCAAATCCACCAGCTGCTCCTTGAGACAAAGACAGGCAATCTCTTCCAGTGCCATTCACAGTCTCCAAAAACCTGCTGGAGGGTCAGCTATGAGTTGGTTCTGACTTAAGAGTGATGAGATATTTAAGTACAAAGCTGGAGCTTGAGAACACAGCTCAGCCTCTTCCTTCATTTCTTTCTTCTTAAACTCAGAAGTTTGTTATGCTGATTTCTAGTCCAGTAATCTAACCCAGCAGTATGTCCTTCATGCCCCTGGATGAGTGAAGAATAGGGAGAAACAGGTAATGCTGCCTTTGAGTGCTGCATTATCCTACCCAAGAGTATAAAATGAATCACTTGGACAAAGTCACACAAGGAAGGTAGAAGGTGGCGACCAAGAAGAGCAGAGAGATTAGGTCATCATTAATATTTACTTTTGTTGACTAAATGATCTTAAAAGCATCTGGACTTTGTAGTATAGGAGTACCTTCTCCTCCTGGTAGAAGTCCCTTAGCATGAGATGCTGGCTCTCTCCTAATCCCTGAGATAATGGGTTTCGCTTGCTTTGAAGGCCACAAATGTATCTAAGCCAGTACCATTTACCTCAGTCCCTTGTAGACACCCAGCATTAGTGGCTATCCACTCGAGCCTTTCCTGTATTCTAGCTTTATTTGGAAGTCAGAGTTCCAAATACGGGAGAGACTGCAGAGACTGTCAGCCAATCAGTTCTCTCACAGGTGAAGAAAGCAGAACACAGAGCCGCGTGAAGTGTGCTGCTGGGGGTCACAGGGCTGGCAGGAGGGAGAGTCTCTTATCTCGCACTATGATAGAGTCTCTATCACACTCCCTGATAAAGGATGTACATCTACCTTCTCAAAGCAGAAGGACCACAGTAGTGACCCTTGTGAATACAGCCCTGAGATGTTTGCCATCTAAACACCTAGAATGGTGATCTCTGGAAATAGGCACAGGTCCTACTTCAGTGAATGTCTGTCAATGCTGTAGTGATGGACAGAAGAGGATCTGAGAGTAGGAGAAAGCTGGGTAATGGAACTGTGACAGTTCACAAGACAAAGCCATCTCCTTCCTCCTGGAGCCAAGAAGCAGGGAAAAGTGAGAAAAGGGAAAGGGGAAGAGAATCTAGACAGAGACCTCACACTGGCTCCGCCTTAAAAGCACCCAAAAAGACACTGCTTGTCCCTCTAATGGTCACTGACCTCCATCCAATTGAGATGAGCAGTGTTTCCTATTAAGTAACCAAACACATTAGTCAAGTATTTAGATTTCACTTCCAATTTCTAGGAAATCCAGTGGAAAGAACAAGTGTAACCAGAGTGCAAGGGGGCATTCAGACAAGTGTACAAGAGAGAAGACTGGTCTCATTTAAAGTGACAGAAAAACCGGTGCACCTGGGAAACTAGTGGGATAGGAAGGATTATTTTAAAAGTCATTTTATTTATTTTTTTTTTAAATAGCATTCAGTTTATTACAAATATTTAGTATTGGCTTCCCATATTTCTCCCCTTTTGTTTTTATCATAATTATGTTATCATCTAGATGAGTAGATAGGAAGGATTTAAGAGATAAAAAGGCACCTGAAATGTGTATGGATCACTGCAAGGAAAACTGACCTGATTTGCAAACTATCACTTAAATAATCATAATTTCTTTAAAAAAAATAGCATCATTATGGAAAGTTTTGAAAAAAAATAAAGATATAATATATGAGGCTCCGTCTAGCATACCTTGGACATGTTGTGAGGAGAGACCGGTCATGCTTGGGAGGGTGGAGGGACAGTGCAGGAGGGGAAGACCATCTATGAGGTGGATTGATTCAGTGACTGGGGTAATCGGGATGGGAGTGTCAGAGACAGTGTGATTGGCACAGGACAGAGCGGAGTTTAGGGCTGTTGTACATAGGGTCGCTATGAGTCGCAAGCGACTCGACGGCACATAACAACAACAACAACAACATATGAGACTACAGACTGCTTGTTATTAGATCAGGACGCTCTTGGGGCCTAGTCATAAGGAGTAGGACTGTCACCCCAATGAAATGTAATGCAAATATACCACCAACTTCTTGATGGGGGAAAGATGGGTAATCTCTTCCTGTGCCATTTACAACCTCTGAAAACTGGCTGAAGGGCCAGCTATGAGTCAGTCCTGATTCCCTGGCAATGAGTTTGTTTTCAGTCTTTATTATTAGATCATAGGGAGCTCTGGAGAGAACAAGAGACATGAAGCACAGACATCACTGATGAAGACACAGATCTGAATTGGATCAAGCTTACCAATCTCACAATTTACAGGAAATATAGTGAAATACTTTAAAAATGTCATGAGAACGCTATCAGCTAATCTTGTTGATGTGCTTTTGAGCCAGAATCGACTCACAGCTGACCCTAAAGTTGGTTTTCAGAGGCTATAAGTCACACAAGAGGAGACTGTCCATCTTTTCCTCGAAAAGTCAGTGGATTTGAACTGCATGTCTTTGGGCTGGCAGTACACTCATTACCACTAAGCTGCCCAGAGCTCCCAACCAATGCTGCAAATTCTGCAGGCAAGCCAACTTTTTAAGAAATGCCAAGAGAACAAAAAGAACAAGAAGAAATTGTTAAAGATTAATAGACTTATGAGACATAATAATAAGCCATAATAAGAAGTACAATGTATGGTCTTTGGGTGCTAAGTGAAAACCAACTAAGAAAGAATTTAAAAGATATTCAGAGAATTAGATAACTGACAATATTCAATATAATTAAAATAATAATTCCTTTTTAAGGTGTGAAAAGAGTTCTTCCTTTAGAGAGACACATTAATTACTGATAAATGGAATTATTTGCTGTCTAGGATTTGCTTTAAATAATCAAATGACACCAGAAAAGATTAAATAAAATATGATTGGTCATATATTGGTAAATTCACAACAAGCTGGATGAGATGGTTTATTATACCATTGTTTCTAATTCGGTATGTTAGTGAATACATGTGGTGTCAAAGGTTTATTGTTCAACATGTTTTTCCTAGGCACTGACTAAGTATTCTATGATGAAGTATTTCTTGTATTAAGGAGACAGGATTAAGGTAGGCGACATGCCCCACCCCAATAGAGTCCTGTGTACGTTCACGGGTCCTCAAGGCTAGCTGTCTCTTTTGGGCTGCGCCTTTTCTGGGACAATGAAACACAGCTGTACCACAACTGACAGTCTACAATGTTCCCCAGTCTCTGCAACTTTGACCTGCATCACTCATCCCCTCTATCGTGTGAGTTATTCCCCTGATGGGTCCGAGTCTCTGTGAGAACTTGGGCGAACCACTGAGCCCAAGGGACACAGAAGAGTGGGAGAACTGAAGAAAGGAGGAATAGTTAATGTCAGAAATCACGGAGAAGCACACCAGATCAAACAGCTGGCACACAGTTGACTTCATCCTGCTTATTTATAAACTTGTCTGCTACCAATCCTATCAGAAAAAATTAGGAATGCAAAATTCATAATAAAATTTCTCTAATAATGTTTCAGTTTAAAGAAAAATAACAACAATGTATATACATATCTGTTACCATGTTGACAATTATTAACATCAACATAATGGAAACATGCATGGTGATACTTTCTGTATGATTAAGAATATTCATAATTATTGTTGATGTTGTTTGTTAGGTGTTGTCAAGTCAACTATGACTCATAGCCACTCCAGAAACAATAGATCTGAACCTTGCCCTATTCTGTGCCATGCTGTTGTTGTGGTGTACCATTGAGTCAGAACCGAACCATAGCTGACCCACCAATGGGTTTTCAGAAGCAGTTAATCGCACGGGAGGAGACTGCCCATCTTTCTCCCGTAGAGCAGCTGGTGGCCTCAAACTGCATGCCTTTGAGGTCACAGTGCAGTTTCGTGCCACTAGGCCACCAGAGCTCCCTATTCTGTGCCATAGTAAACACAATTTTACAAGCAATAAAACCTAGCAAAAACTCAGAGCTGGATTAGGTTAGAAGAATTATGAAATGCAGCTACATATGCCTAATGCTGATATTTAGTGGAAATGCCTTCAGAAATTTAAAAGCATAAAACACAGTATACCCTAAAAATCTGAACTACTAAATTATTGTTGTTATTGTGTACCATCAGGTAGGAACTGACCCATAGCTGACCCTCCAGCAGGTTTTCAGAGGCAGTTAATCATATGGGAAGAGATTGCCCATCCTTTTCCTGTTAGAGAGTCTGGCTGACTAAATAGTGAACATGTTTGCTTATTACACTATGACATAAAAACCAAACCCAACCCCACTGCTACTGAGTCAATCCCAACTCATATCAACCATGCGGGACAGAACAGAACTTCCCTAAAGGCTCTAAATATTCATGGAAGGAGATTGTCACATCTTTTCTGTTGTAGAGGGTTCGGTAGATTTGAACTACTAACCTTTTGGTTAGCAGCTGAATGCTTTCCATTGGGTTACCAGGGCTCCTAGCATGTATGACAAAGTTACCTCCAATTTAGAGTAAAGCCACAGCATGATTAAATGGAAAGAGAGCTATGTTACCATTTAAGCTCCGTGTCCAAAAGTAAAACTTTCCCCTTAATGATCTGAGAAAGAGATATCTGGCAGTGTGTGCCCTACAGTTTGAATGCCTCAATCAACAGGCGCAGCACACAGCAACCGACAGGCATTCAAAGCCTCTATGATGTGGAAGAGAAAAAAATCCCAGGCCAAACAGCCAGCCTACTTGTTACTCAGACACATCAAGTAGCCTCTGATGACACGGGTGGCAGCAAACAGCTGCTTTTGATAGAACGGACTGACTCCAACAGAGTTCCCGCACCCTCCATGGGTACCAGTCATGCTTTCTCGTACCTGATGATGACACACTGGTTCTCTCTGTCAATGATCATGTTTCTGTACATATTATCTGCAAGGGCATAGATATGTGGTGGGTTTTCATACTGTGCCTACAAAAGGAAAACAGAAAGAGCATGGTCAGAAAATGCAACACCTTCTACTCCTTGTCTTAGCACAACTACGAAAGCCCAATGCCTCTATAGACATCTGAAAGGTTGCATAATCGAGGAATTCCTAAAATGGCCTAGGTCATGAAGAGTTACACCTAAACTAAACACAGATGGAATCTGGAAGGACTCTCCCATGGGCACATGGGTGACTCACTCAGCCTTCAGACATAACCCATGTCTTCATATACACCAGCGCCACACCCTCCACCCTCCACACGCCTCTGCAGCATGGCATTCCAATCCGAAATCCTTCTGAAGACACTCCGACTCTAGCCAATCTACCAGAGAGAGGACTACCAAGAACACAGGGTCTGACTTTTATTTGGATTCTAAAGGCCCACACAATTTTGCTAGGAGGCAATTTGCAAATTCCAAGACTCTGAAAGAAATTAAGTAAGCTTATCTCTGAGCAGAAAAACTTAAAATTCTCCATAAGGAAAGAACAAGAGGTGTGGTCCTTCAGAGGAATAAACTGGTTGGGTCAGTTTGTCTCACCTTCATTAGTGTGTGTGAGGGGGAAGCCTACCACACCAAGGTATTCTTGTGGGTTTGTGCATTAGCCCCATGCATATCATGCTGTTTTCATTTGGTACATATTTTAGTTACAAATAATTAGAAACCCATATGTCTACAGTTAATAAATTGACTATCTCAATTATCGCCACTCATCTCCTCAACTGCTCACAAAACTGTTAATAAACCAAAACAAACAATAAACCTTCATGTAGTGCATAGCTTGAGAAAGGTCACCCCTTAGTTCCAGGTTCTCTAACACAAAACAGTGAAAAGACAATAAGATCTCAAGTGAGAAGACATTGAGACCAAGCCTCTCCCCCACTGGGTCCATCTCTAAAGAGGGATAACAATGCTTAGGATGCACACCCCATAAAGCAAGCTGAGATGAAGGAAAAGTAAGTCAGTCATATATGGAAAGGTAAAACATGGATCCCAACGATGCAGCAGATGTACTAGGAAAAAAGGGGGTCTAGGGAGTGCCTCTTAGAACCATGTGTAGAGAGCATGTTGTTGTTGTGTACCATCGAGTTGGAACTGACCCACAGCTGACCCTCCAATGGGTTTTCAGAGGCAGTTAATTGCACAAAGGAGATTGCCCATCTTTCTGCTGTGGAGCAGCTGGTGGATTCAAACTGTGTACCTTTGGGTTAGCAGAACAACTCCTTACCCCTAAGCTGCTTAACCCCTTGGGTTTCTGAGGCCTTTGGGTTGGTAGCGCACCTTGCCGCCCATTAAGCCACCAGAGAAGCTCTTTTGTGTGTGGATATGCATGTTTTGAAATCTTATGAGAGGAGAATGCTTGCTCATCTTTCTCCCTCAAAGAAGCTGGTGGATTTGAACCACTGGCCTTTCAGTTAGCTGTCCAATGGATTACATACCAGTGCCACCTGTGCTCAGGATATCTTAATTTAAAAACCTTTTGTTACCATTAGCAGGAAAAGAAAAAATACAGTTTCACAATGCCAGAGTGTTTCTTTAGGGAAAACTCTTAAAGAGAGAGAGTCTAAAAAAGGCATTCATGTTACAACACTCCTCTTCAAAAAGCTGTTAACTCTTCTAGGAAGAACACACGCATTTCCATCCACCCCGCCTTGGCCATCACTGAGGAGGCCTAGCCAGCGCCACCTGCTGCCAGGGCCGGCCAAGGGGGCGCCAGGACAGGGCCCGGTCTCGGCGGACAGTGAATCCTTGTGCTGGGCTCCCATAAAGGCAGCATTATCAAAGGTTTTTCGCGTGGCAGCCTCCTTCGGCTCCAGCTACCAGCACCATTCATCTGGCAACAATGGGGTGGGCTCTTGCTCTGGGTAAATTGCCTTCCACTTCAACTGATGAATTTGTGTGGGCTCTCTTTTGTTTGTTTTCCAGGGGTCAGGATTCATGAACACACTTGTGTTTCTGCTGCAAAGGACAGAGGGGAGGAAAAAGATGCAGAGACGGGGGTCTGAGGAAGGGTCACCCAAGAAAGGAAACAGACCCATTAAGATTGCAGCTTTTGCTTTCATGGCACTACTGGTGGGGCTTCGCAGAGCTGGCTTCAAGTAGGGAACAGGGTCATATTAATAGATGAAGTAGCAAAAGACTAATTTTATCATGTTCAAGCCCCACCATAGCTTAATTAAGATCCTAATTATGAGAGAATGATTCTCATCACTAAATGTATTATTACTGTTATCAAATATTGATTTGTATTCAGTTTCATTTATATTATTATAGCAGTAGAAGCGGAAAGATCCTCCAAGCTTTAGGTGGTAGATCCTGTTCAACTAATTCTGTTTATAAATTGGTTAAAAGAAAATTCTATACCCTTTTAAGCGGCACTCTAAATAAAGCACATCATTAAAAATCAAACAATGTCACTTACTTGTGCTAACCCAATAAATAATTGATTTTAAGAAAATGCAAATGTCAAACCTGCTTCAAGAAGAAAATATCCAGGCATCATAAAAAGCCCTAAACAGTGTAGTAATTTATGTAGCATATAACTTACCGCTCCTTGGTACATTTCAATTTCCTTTTCCCCAAAATATGGCATCTGCTTGAAAGGGTTGACTGAGATTAATACTGACCCTATATATGTCTGAATTTAAACTCAGTTAAGGTCCATTATTAATTGTCACAGTTACACATCTTTCAAATTAACTCACCATATGTTACCAAGAATTCATTACTGTTGTGGAACTATAAACCTCAAGCCCTTGTGTTTGAAAAGATTACAAACAAAGACAAAAGCAAGAATTCAACAAGCTCAAATGTCCTCTTCAGGAAGAATGATACATTCCATTACGAAAGTGTCACAAAAGGACATCATTATGTCAAATGAGCTGAGGACAATCTCTTAAGTCTTGATAGTAAGTACAGCAAGGAAAAAATAAAATAGAAGTGGTCAAAACATGTAAAGGGCAGTTAGTATTCCTCTTCTGAAATGGTCCATCCTTTTCCACTGAAATTTTCACATCTCTTAAACATACTAAGAACATACTCATTTCACATGTAGAAGGATGTAAGGTGACCTACCCTCCCGACACTTATAGAATAATGGTGAAACTGAGTGATGTCCATGCAGTATTATTCCAAGAAGAAACTGACAAGCCTCTAAAAAGTTGCACCGGCCAGGTATAGTTGTTGTTGTTACTATGTGTCACTGAGCTGGAACTGACTCCTAGCTGACCCTCTGGTGGGTTTTCAGAAGCTCTAAATCACACAAGAAGAGCCTGCCATTTTTTTTTACCCATGGAGCAAGTGGTGGAGTCAAACCTCCTGCTTTGGGTTGGTAGTGCAAATCCTTACCACTAGACCACCAGAGCTCCCTAGAAAATGATATTTCCGTTTGCAGACTTTAGGTTCATCTCTCAGAAGAGGATACATTTATGCTCAGCCTTACAAGTTTTAATTAATACATGTCAATGAATCAAAATAACAGACGCCACATTATTAAAGTAAAAAGAATCCATTTACTCACTCAATAGTCAACAAATTTAAATTGGGTGTCTACTGGATGTCTGACATAAATTTAGACAGTGGAGATACATCTGAGAACAAAATAGATAAAACAGATAAACCCTTGGCTTTCTGGAGGGGGAAAAAATTAAATTTAAACAGAGAGACACCATGGAAATAGGACAAACAAGGGGGAAGTGGGAATAGTGTGGGTACAATGTGGGATTATAATCAATGTTACAGGACTTGTATAAACCATACAGTGGAAAACCAATTTGTCCTATAAAAATTTACTTAAATCACAAGAAAGAGTTTTTTAAAAAAATACTAAAACCCCAACACAAACATGTTGTTGCTGTTATGTGCCATCAATGCAAAGCAAACAAATACCTTTGTTTAAAAAGAATGAGTATCTACACAGAAATTATTTTACCAATGTTTTAACCATTGCTTAGAAGTGTTACATCTGCATATGTAGTAGGTCACTAAGATCTCCTCTTCCATGGGAACTTTGAAATATTTCTATATTGGCACCTGTGTGTCAGTCAGGGATTCCTTGGGTAGCACAAATGGTTACGTGCTTGGCTACTAACACGAGGCGATTCTAACTCACATCTCAGAAGAAAGGTCTCACAATCCACTAATAAAAGGGCTGACAGAGCCTTGAAAACCAAAGAGCACAATTCTACTGTACACTACACTGGGCCACCATGAGTTGGAGTTAACTCCCTATCACACAGCTTTTGGGGTTTAATACCAGGCAGAACAGCACAGGTATCTGCTCTGACTTCATGCTCCTCAGGCCCAGATCCATTCTGACCTACAGAAAGTCATAACACCCAAGTCTTGCTTAAAGGATGGTGGTGATAAAACAGCATTTACAGACTTGTTGAGACTTGAATGAAACAATTGAAGTGCTTAGCACTGTGCTGGGCTGTTGTAGTAGATACACTCTAACATGATGTCTTGTTACACTTTAACAACTCTAAAATTTTAATGCAGGTTTGAGTAATGCTTCTTAGTTTCAATGAGATGCCATTTTATTTCCACTGAACACAAATGAGCCCAATGTGGATGGATGATATTGTTTTAAGATGATATTTACAGAAGAAAGTGAGCATGTGGGGTGGCTTGGTTGCTATTTTAAATGCTTTTTCCTCAGATCAGAAACATCTTCACACTTGAAAGGGTGGAATGTGAATTGGTAACAGAGAAAATGAAGTGCTTTTTAAGAAGACATCCAGTTGTGCATAGTCTGGTCCTGGGAACAGGTCAGGCATTACGAGGAGTCACGGATGGGACAGTCGGTCACAGATAAAGGTATCCAATAAAATCACAGAGGGAGAACCAAAAGCCCGAGGACTGGTGGCCCATTGGAAATACAACACACTACAGAGCGGTAGGCTGCATTGCATAGGTTAAGATTTAGAATAAACTATTAAACAGATAAGAGACATTCATAATATTGTAGCCAGGGCTCAAGTGAAAAACAAACAAACAAACAAACAAACAAACAAAATGCTGTTGAGTTAATTCTGACCAGTGGCAACCGCATACATATCTGAGGAGAATCATACTCCACAGAGTTTTCAATGGCTAGGTTTTCAGACTTAAGATTGCCAGTTCTTTCTTCAAAGGTGCTTCTAATTGGATAGAACTAATGTTCCAGTTAGCAGTCATGAACACTAAGATTGATCAAACACTTGCATATTTATAAAGTACTAATCTATCTCTTAGGGAGCTCTCTGGAGGCCTAGTGGTAAGCAGTTGCACTAAAATTCCAAGTGCTGCTCCTTGAGATAAGGATGGGCAGTCTCCTCCCAAGCAATTTACTGTCTGAAAATCTGCTGGAGGGTCAGCTCTGACTCAATGGCCTACAACAACAGGCACAACTACTTAATCCCTTGGCCTTAAAAGCAGTAGAGATTGTGAGGATGGAACACGACTGGACAGGTTTCCATCTGTTACACACTAGGACATTATGAGCTGGAGCGATAATGTTCTAACAACAAAAATCTAATCTGTTAACAACACCCTTATTATTGTGTTGTTGTTGTTGTTATGTGCTGTTGAGTGGCCTGTGACTCATAATGACCCTATATACAAAAGCTCTGAAGCTTGCCCTGTCCTGAGCCGGTCTCACTGACCGACACACCTACTCCCATTGCCCCAGTTACTGTATCAATCCATCTCATCCAGGGTCCTCCTCTCCTATGCTGTCTCTCCATCCTTCCAAGCATGTTGTCCTCCAAAGACTAGTCCTCCTGGCCATGGGCCCAAAGTATGTGAGACAAAGCTTCAAAATTCATGCCTTCAGGGAGCAGCTTGGTTTCACCCTCTCCGGGTCAGACCTGTTTGTTCTCCTGGTAGTCCATGGTATGTTCAAGACTCTTCTCCAGTGTCACAACTCAAAGGCATCAATGCTTCTTCTATCATCCTTAGTTATTGTCCAGCTCTCGGATGTATAACAACTAACTGCAAATATCGTTCAATAATTTCGAAACACTTTTGGGTCACCTTTTTTTGGAATGGAAATGCATATGAATCTCTTTCTGTCAGTTGACTAGGTAGTTGTCCTCCAGATTTCTTGGCACAAGTTGGTGAACATATCCAGGGCAGCATATGTCAAGTCCTTCAGAGGAGCCTGTACTTCCTCCTTCATCACCTTTGCCACTTGATCATATGTTGTTTCTTTAAATTCTTCTGTATCAGCCAATTCTTTTTTGGTACAGTGACTCTGTACACTCCTTCCATCTTCTCTTAATGCTTTCTGGATCATTCCATATTCTGCCCATAACATTCTTAAGTGTTGCAACTCAAGGCTTGAATTTGTTCTTTAGTTCCTTCAGGTTAAGAAATGCTGAGCCAGTTTGGCCCTTTGGATTTTCCAACTCCAACTCCTTGAACATTTCATTATAATACTTCGCTTTGTCTTCTCGAGCTGCCCTTTGAAGTCTTCTATTCAGCTCCTTAATGTTTTGGTTTCTTTCCTTTGGCTTCTCAGAGCAATATTCAGTCTCTTCTGACATCCAATTTGGTCTTCTTCCTCTGTCTTTGTAATGCCCTTTTGCATTTTTTGTGGATGATATTCTTAATATCCTCCCACAGCTCATCTGCCATCCTTCTCCCATAGAGCAGCTAGTGGAGTTGAACCGTGTGCCTTTGGGATTGTAGCACAGATCCTCATCACTAGGCCACCAGAGCTCCTTTTAGTACAGAACAAATGTGCTGGAGCCTATTGTTGAAGCCGCCTAGTCAACAAGTAGTCACTGAGATGGCTCAGTGAGGGTCTTTCCCTGTTCCATTGATCTATTTTATCAAGTATGATGTCTTTTTTTCAGAGACTATTCCAGCCTGGTAATGGGCCCCCAAAGTGAGAGAGGAAATACCTCACTCCTGGCTCTTATGGAGCATTCTAGCTACAGATCTTCCAAAATAAATTTGTCTGTTCTCTTGGGACACACAATATTCTTTGCAAATACCACAATATGAAGACATCAATTGTTTTTCAGTCTCATTCATTGGTTAGCATATGAAGCCACAGAAAAATACCATGGCTGGGACCAGGTGAATCTTAAGTCTTCAGAATGACAGCTGTTTCTTAATACTTTAAAGAAGACTTTTGTAGCAGATTTGCCCTATGCAACACAGCTTTTGATTTCTTTACTGGTGATTCGATGGAAGTTGATTATGGCTCCAAGTAAGAGGAAGTCCCTGGCAACTTCAATCTTTTTTCTACTTATGCAGTTGCCTATTGGCCCAGTTGTGAGGATTTATCTTTTCTTGAGGTATAAAGCATGCTGAAGGCTATGATCTTTACTCTTTTTCAGTAAGTACTTCAAGTCCTCTTCACTTTCCACAAGCAAAGTCTGACTACTTAGTGGTATTGAAAATTTTTAGTTTCAGTTTTCTGAAAGTGGAAAGCCAATTTTCCCAGCACTGGTTTACTGAAGAGACCCTTCTTTCCCCATCAAATGGACTTGGAACCTTATCTAAAATCAGTTGTCCAAGAGTGTGTGGGTTTGTTTCTAGGCTTACAACTGTATTCCATTGTTCTACTTGTCTATTGTTTTATCAGTACCATGCTGTTTTGATTTCTATAGCTGTACAACTCAATAGTTCACTAGTCTTGAGTCAGGG